GGGGAAAATGGCGGCATATAAATGTAATAAATCCAATCCAATCCAATGTGATCCCCTTTTGCCACCTGACAGACAAAGTCAATGAGGAAGCCAGATTCTCTTAACAACCGTGTTATTAACTTAACAACTGCAGTGATTCACTTAACAACTGTGGCAGGATAGGTCGTCAAATGGGGTAAAATTTACTTAAAAACTATCTCTCTTGGCAGTCAGCAGGAATTTTGCACTCAATTGGGGTCATAAGTTGAGGACTACCTGTAGTTCCTGAGATTTCAGCAAGGCGGCCTCCTTTCGTTTACTGAATTCCACCTACAAGTGGCCTGCATGAGACCTGAGGAATTATATTATTTTTCCTTCTTCCTGCCTCCAATTTAGAAAAACACTTTATTGAAATAGGAGCTCGGTTGTTTCCTTGTAGATGTTTTGTGAACAAACTAGGTAACGTCATTAGTCTAGCACAGATGATGCAACCTAGTCAGGTCAGGAAATGTCTGCAAGAAGACAAGTTCAAAGAGCACCAAGACCAACCCTGAGCCAAAAATATACTCTTCCTTCCATCTGTTGAAATAGTTCAGCCAGGTTATTTATTTATTTATTTATTTGCCCCTGAAAAAAAATTCAGGGAGCTGAAGGGAATTAAGATTTCCAAAATGGAGACAAGCTGGTGGTAAGAATAAAAAATAAATTTAAAAAAACCCTTTCAAACATTAACATCTGCATGCACCCAAAGCTCAGAAAACTAACCCTGGCCGTGCTTCGTTTTTTGCATTAACCCGTAATGCAGCATGAATTCCCATGGTTTGAGAATCAGGGGACGTTTTGAAGGGTAGGATCCTTAATCCTCTCTGAGCTCAGTGGTTTTTTTTGCAGATGTTTCATGACCCTTCTTAGGGAATGCCATCACTGCTAGAAGGGAGGTGGGGTTGAGGAAAGGAAGAGGAGGACAACAGGAGGACAAGGAGGAGGGGAAAGGAGGAGGAGGAGGAGGAGGAGGAGGAGGAGGACAATGACTGTGGAGTCCTTGGTGCTCTCTGAGCTCAGTTATTTTCTTATAGATGTTTCATGACCAAACTAGGTAACATCACCAGTGCTAGAAGGAACTGTGGTTCTAGGTTCTAGCATTGATGTTATTACCTAGTTGGGTCACTAAATGTTTACAAGAAAGCTCAGAAAGCACCAAGGACCCCACAGTTCCCCTCCTTCCCCTCCTCCGAGATGGGTCATGAGATGTCTGCAAGAAATCCCCAAGCCAAGAGAGCACCAAGGACCCCCCCAGTTCAACCCTGAGCTCCAATTGCTCTCTTCTATCGACCTTTCTCACCCAACCCCAATCTCCAACATTTTCACCATCAGAGAGGAAACCATCACCACCGTCGTGAAAAACCCAAGAACCAAACGGAAGCCATCTCCAGCCCGTCCGTCTTCCAGCTACGCTCCTCGCTCTCCAGGCTCAGAGTTTGCAACATCGGAGCCAATTTATGTCAGCAAGATTAGGCAACCTGGTCCCAGGCATGACCCTGAAGGAGTAGGGAAGACCACCATTCCTACTCTTTTTGTGACAGACCCTCAGGAGAGGCAAGGAGTTGCAGGCCGGAGTATCAGCGTAGAAACTCCTCTGGATGAACAGCGTAAATGGGTGGAAGTGGAAGAAATAATTGAGTTTAATGTGCAGAAACCAACCCAGATGTCAAGGAAAAGAGGTGCATCCCCCGGGCGATCCGAGAAGGAGGAATTTGTGTCAGGTTATTCTCGGCCCACCACGAGACCCAGGCGTTCCTCTGAAGATGACCCAAATGTGAATAATTCCAACAACAAACAAGTTGAGCAGGTTGAATCTCCCATCTCCCGAGATGTTCAAAGATCTGGAGAACCATCAGGGAACGAAAATGAAAGCCCTCGTGTGGAGCTAGAAGGAAAGTCACACCTTCATGAATCCAGAAGCTGGATTGACTCATCTGGGACTACCGTGGTTGAAACATCTCAGATGGGCCATTCCCAAGATGAGGACTATGTTGTGGAGGAGTCTTCTCCAGAAGACGAGACTCTTCCAGATCAAAAAACGACAGTATATGGCCCCAATCGGGGAGACCTATCCGATCTTGGCAATCGGGAAGTAAAAATCCTTACCCGGAATGGGAAAGCATTAACTTTGGAGGACCTTGAAGATTACGTCCCTGAAGAAGGAGAGACCTACAGATGCAGCCGTCTCAATTCCGAAGAAGATAAGCCTTGCGAGATAGCCGTTCTCCAGACCGAGATCAACAAGCCCACCATTGGCAAACCAGTATTACTGAACGTCGGAAGACCTGTGGCCTCTAAACCCAGGCAAACCTTCTTTAGCAAATTTGAAGGCCATCACCCTGGAAATATCTTCATGTCGGCATCCAGAGTGACCGAAACGCAACCTAGAGATCCCACCAATGTTTCTTTCCAGATTGGCGAGTCCCACCGACCCACTTTCTTCACGCAGGTCCAGTTGTCCCCGGAGAGTGGTGCGTCCAATTTCAAAACCGAAGTCTCCACCCGAAGCTACAGCACTGCCGTAGGAGAAACAGTCACGTTCCACATCAAGAAGGATGACCCTTCCCAAACTTAACGGGAAATTAAGGCCAGACCTCTTAACCACGATAGACAATTTAAAAAAAAAAAAAAACATTACCATCAATCTCAGCAACAAATCAGCACCTTTATGTAAAGGGGAAAACAAGAATACAAAAGGAGAAACGGCAATTAAAAAATAAGATCCGAGATAAATGATGATGTACCATAAAATTGATCTTTTGCAAGGGAACACTTCTGTCAGTACAATCTATAGAATGTAATCTTTGATTTGCAATTCCCCCCCCCCTTTTTGTATTAAAAAAAAAATTCACCATTCCATTGTAAGGCATTGAGGTGCAGCAGAAGTAGAACATCATTAGTGAGATGAGATTAAATCATGGTTACTTTCTCTTAAAATGGTGATAGGGAAACTGCCGATATTTTTTTTTAATGTTACCAAAAGGGCGATTCAGAATTTAATAGTTCTAATCCACTTCCTTCGCAACTTCTGAAGAGATTTAATGAGATGTAGCACAGGTAGTCCTTGACTTATTTAGTGACCATTCAAAGTTACAATGGCACTGAAAACAGTGATCCGTGGCCATTTTTCCTACTTATGACCATAGCAGCATCACCACAGTCACATGATTAAAATTGGGATACTTGGCACCTGGTTCCGGTTTATGATAGTTGGCGCTTCCTGGAATCACATGATCCCCTTTTGCGACCTTCCGACAAGCAAAGACAACGTGGATGTCAAATTTGCTTAACAACACTGTTACTAATTTAACAACTGCAGTGATTCACTTAACAGCGGTGGCAAGACAGGTCATAAAATGGGGCAAAATTTACTTAGCAAATGTCTTGCTTAGGAACAGAAATTTGGGGCTCATATGTGGTCATAAGTCAATGACTACCTATATTCTATTGCAGGAGTTACGGAAATTATTTTATTGAATCCATATTAATCCCACTGACAGAAGTGACATCAGCTTAAATGCAGACAATAAATCAATTTAAGGGACTTCTGACTTGTATTTTGATTTTTTCTAATTTCTTGCCAATTCCAAAACACGAGGGTTGGTGCCAAAATATTGACTGAATACTTTGTTCTCTCCAATTTTCTTGATACACTTCCTTTTATTAAAATGAAGATTACATTGGATAAATATGGCTATTCCTTATAGTCTCCTCTTACAAACAATATCTCCAATTATTTTTGACGTTGTCCTTAAAATACCATCTGGTAGGGCAAATTCTTAACACAGATTAAAAACAATACCAATTTTTGGATGAGTAAGTTTAAATGCATTGCTGGATAATTCTTCATAATTCATCCTTCATCGACACATTTATCCGAACCATAAATAGAGAATGGAGGATTCTCATCTTGCTGAGAAAGTATTCTCCAACCAAAAATCAGTGGTGAAATTCAATTTTTTTACTACCGGTTCTGTGGGTGTGGCTTGGTGGGTGTGGCAGGGGAAGGATACTGCAAAATCCCCATTCCCTCACCACTCAGGGGATACCAAAAGGTGGCATTTGCTGGTTCTCCGAACCACTCAAAACTTCCACTACCGGCTCTCCAGAACCTGTCAGAACCTGCTGGATTTCACCCCTATCAAAAATGTGGTTCTTCTGAAGACCACCCAACATTTATCATTTTCATTAAGGCAAGCGTTTTTGTTTTGAATACAGGTAGTCCTTGACTTACAGCCATTGGTTTAATGATCAACAGCACTGAAAAGAGTGACTTGGGGCTGTTCTTCACACTTATGACCGTTGCAGTGTCCCCATGATCACGTGATCAAAATTCAGACACTTTGCAACTGGTACGTGCAGCGTCCTGGGATCATGTGATCACTTTTTGCTACTTTATGACAAACAAAATCAATGTGGAAGCCAGTTTCGGTTTACAGCCATGTTACTAAATTAACAACTACAGTGACTCACTTAATAACTGTGACAAAAAGGGTCGTAAAATCACTCAACAAATGTCTTCCTTAAAAATTTTTAGGCTCAATTGTGATTGTAAGTCGAGGATTACCTGCAAACATCATGCCATGAAGTGTTTTAGAAGGCTGGGTGAATTTCATTCAAAGAGTCCCTTTCATTTTGCAAAACCCCCTTTTTGATTATTCTTTACATGTTTACTTTGTGGTATCTGTGCATTTTTAACTTTGCCAGTCATCAAAATTTTAAGCTCTGCAAGCGTCTCTCTGCAGAAAATTATGCGATCCATCAGCCTACGTTTAGAAACACAAAATTATGGACCTTGTAAAATGTGGAATTTTTAAAGAAACTCGGTAAACAAATGTAGAAATGTTCATTAACGATTTGGCTGATAAATAACTAATGAAAAATTAGCTTAAATTTCTCTTGATCAGCTAATTTTTTTTAAAAAAAATTCCATCATTGCATATTTGGGACTTTTTTTTTTTAACTTTTTCAAATGTTACGGTCTGTCCTAGGGAGGTGGGGATTCTTGCCTATATGGGATTTACAATCTATAGATAAATGTTGGGGTTTCTTATAAAGAAATGATAAGAATTTATACTGAGTAACTTTTGTGTTGACGAACCAGCTGGATTAGATATTCTTGGTGCAAAGTGAACAGGTTGTTTCACAGATCAAACAAATTCAGAGACGAGATGTCAACTGGAACGACACTCAATTTTCTATCAATAAAGAATTAATAGCATCGTAATTTTTTTTGTTGTTGTGGTTTTTTTAAAATAAAAATTCATCGTTTAATTGTCATTTGGGCTATGCACCAAATGTGTTTTCGGTGTCCTGTAGAGGAAAAAAATGCAATGGGAAATTTATGCATGAAACAGTTCCTCAACACTTAGCATCCTTTCAAGAAGGAAGTTCGGTATTTCTTCTATACAGGTAGTCCTCGACTTACAACTGTTCTTTAAAGTGACCCTTGGAAGTCCCAATGGCACTGAAAAAAGGGAATTATGATCAGTCCTCGCACCCATTGCTACATCCCCACAGTCACGCGATCACAATTTGGTGATTGTAAAATCGGGTACCACTCGCATTACAACCTCCTTGCTTAGCAACTGAAATGCCGATCCCCATTGTGGTTGTAAGTTGAGGACTAGCTCTAGTTTCTTCCACTTGAGAGTGTCATTCAAGCCAATTTCCAAAATTGGCCATTGTTACAATTTTCAGCCACGCAATTTATATCCAAAATTACTGGAAATTATGGTATACAACCTTGCTTATTATCCTGGCTCTGTCCAAATACACTCCTTGACCTTAAGCAACAAAAATTATTTTACTTCAGGCTTTTGTTGGAGAAATAAATAAATGAAAATAAGTCAGATTGCAAAGAGGGTTTTGCCACTGAACTGTATAAAATGTACAAAACTTATAGAAATTGATCTATACTGATAGTCCTCGAGCCTGGAATTATAGTCATAAATCATAGCGATACTAAAGTGGGTAAACTGCCTGGCCTCTCTTTCATTTTACGAACCAACCTTTTTTGTAGCAGTCGTTAAACCAAACACCACAGACGTTAAATAAATGCAGTCGTCATTAAATGAGTGGAGCATATCCACTGGGATGGAGGGGGCTCTTTGCCAGAAGTAAAAATCAAAAACTGGGAAAAACAGCTAAAAATCACAGTCATGTGATTGCAAGATGCTGCAAACTGTCATAAAAGTGAACCGTTTGCCAAGCGCACAAAAAATATAATTGGGTGACTATAGTGTGTGTGTGTGTGTGTGTGTGTGTGTGTGTGTGTGTGTGTGTGAGAGAGAGAGAGAGAGAGAGAGAGAGAGAGAGAAAGAGAAAGAGAAAGCGCTTGTGTGAATTTCCAATTTGGGTGGTAAGTCACTGGGGGTGTGGGTCGTAATGCAGAATGGCTGCTAAGTGACTGGTCATTAAGCAAGGACTACCTACACTATATTGATCATGGTCATTCTCAAGTTAATGCATTCATTAAGTGAACCATCCAATTGCTAAGAAACAAGAGAAGTCAATTAATTAACAAGCAATAGCTAGATGATTGATAGATAGATAGATAGATAGATAGATAGATAGATAGATAGATAGATAGATAGATAGATAGATAGATAGATAGCAGGGCATTACAAGCAAGGAATATGTCAAAAGCCATTAGGGAAAGTACAGGCGGTCCTCTACTTATAACAGTTCATTTAATGACCATTGGGAGTTACAGCAATACTGAAAAAAATGACTTGATTGTTTTTCACACTTATAACTATTGCCTCATCCCCAGGGTCATGTGATCAAAACTCTAGGTTTGGCAACTGTCTCGTATTTATGACAGTTGCAGTGTTCTGTGGTCATGTGATATGATCCCTTTTGTGACAAGTAAAGTCAACGGGGAAACCGGAGTCAGTTAACAAATCAGGTGACTAACTTAACAACTGTGGTGAATCATTTAACGATCATGGCAAGAAATGTCATAAAATGGGGCAAAACTCAACCGTCTTGCTTAGGAACGGAAATTTTAGGCTCAATTGTGGTCATAGGTCGAGGACTACGTGTAGGCCACCCAACATGGTGACAGCTCTGTGTGGAAAATCTCATAAATGTTTTCTTATAAATCAGCTATTTTCCCAATGGATTTTTTTTTTACTTTGTGGCGAGATTAGAATAGAATAGAATAGAATTATTTATTGGCCAAATATGATTGGACCCACATGGAATTTGTCTATGGTGCAGATGCTCTCAGTGTACATAAAAGCTATGTAATAAATCATAATCATAGTCATCATGAAAATACATTCATCGTGAATCATAAGATACAACACTTAGTGATAGTCATAGGATACTAAATAAGCAATCAACACAAATCATACTAGGAAACTAAATTAAACAATATAAGATAAGGTACAAGTAACAAAGTTATAGTCATAAGTAGTAAAGGAGACAGGTAGTAGGAAAAGTGAGAAGAAGGATAGTAATGCAG